GACAATTACAGCAGCTTTCTGGCGTCAAGGGTCATAAGTGGCGTCGGCATGGCTCCGTATGAGGTACTCTTCAAAACCCGCCCCAAGAGACCGCCAAATATGCTAACTCGAGCTTCGCATAGGTCCTGGTCCAGTGTACCATCGGTGACCTCTACTTCGTTCACGAAAGGGCCACTCGAATTGCGGTCTGGAACTTGTTTCTCCTAACAGTAAGTTTCCATGAATTCCTGTACCACGGTTGGCAAAGGTTTCGTGTACCGACCATCAACCAGGGAATCTCAGGCGGAGCCCTTGTGGCTGGCTACATTATTGAGTATGACGGCTATCAGTGGACGTTCGGAGTATGCGCCATCATGTTCGGCGTGCTCCTGTTCGCGGTATTCTTCTTCGTCCCCGAAACCACATATCGTCGGGACGCAGTCGTGGTTGTTCCGGTTACAGATGCGGTCGACACTGATCCCGAGAAGCCGGGTGCACAGCATGTCCACATGAAGTTGGGACATGAACACGATGTCTCTCAAGCGCATGGAGAGAAGGACAAACATCTGTCCTACGCAGTCACCCGTGGATCCGCCGAAGCCAAGATGTCATTCTGGCAGTCGCTCAGGATCTTCACTGGACGATACAGCTATGCTCCCATATATAAGATCTTTACCCGCCCTGTGCTGCTTTTCTTTTATCCGGCGGTGTTCTGGGGATTCCTCATGTATGGCACCACCTTGACCTGGATCGTGGTCTTCTGTAAGTTCTCCTTTTGGTCCCAAAGTGTTGGAGATCGATACAAGCTAACGGAGATTTGCAGCTGTGGTCAACGGGGTGATATTGTGAGTTCCATATACTTTCGTGGCACTAGACCCTGTCAACACCGGTGAAAGCTAACAGGTGCTCGCAGTGTGGCTCCGCCCTACAACTTTTCCGTGTCGCAAGTTGGGCTGATCAGCTTGTCCCCTTTTATTCTGACGTTGCTTGGAGAGGTCATCTCTGGGCCCCTCAACGACGCAATTTGTCTCTACTTGACGAAGAAGAACAAGGGGATATACGAACCTGAATTTCGACTGGTGCTGATCATCGTTGTCATCATCCTCGGCACCGTGGGATTCTTTGGATTCGGGGCCACTGTCCATTACGAGACGCATTGGTTGGGCCCAGTGTTGACATTTGGGTTTGCAAACATGAGCTTGGCCTTTGCCTCGACCTGTGTCTTTGGTTACGTGATCGACTCCTACCCCAAGTTGAACGAGGAAGCGTTTGTGGCCATCAACGCCCGAAATCTTCTCACGTTTGGCCTGACGTACTTCGTCAACAACTGGCTGGCTCAAGATGGCCCCTTGCAAGTCTTCTGCATCCTGGGAGCCCTCTTTCTGTTTGTCTGTTTGTTAACGATCCCTCTCTGGTGAGTTGTATCGTCCGCTTCGGATGCGGCCCACAGCTTCACAGCTTCACAGGGCTGACTCGCGAGCAGGATATTCGGCAAAAGAATCCGATCCCGGATTGGCAGGACCGCGTGGCTCCAGCGGTATATGAATGACGATTTTTAGGGCGACGGGTGACAGAGAAGTAATCACGCCGCCGAGAGGGGGAGCGTGGTACTTAGTGGCGGGTGTTTGTAGAAGCAGATATCAAATCGGGGCATATCCGCAGCGATGGTTGGAAATCTATGGATACAGCAACCTTCCCGTTAGAGAAATTCGACGTTTGGGCTCCTGGACGTTGACGACAGATGGGCGCCCAATCAAGCAACAGCTGAGATATTTAAAGGATGACCTTGTCAACCCTGCTAACCCTGTTCCACTCCGCCACTTCCGTGACGCACCTTTGGGACGGGCGAAGATCCCATCAGCTCGATCAGCGCCCAGAGTTTTCAGGCCTCCATGATCCGTGGCAGATATGGCTGCCTGTGTCGAAAGTTGGGCCAACTCCAGGCTCTGAACAGAATGCTGAGGGGCCCTGCCAGTCTGCATGATATTCCGCGTTCCGAGTAATGCTAGTGATGCTGCAGCCCTAGATTATAATAGGAATGGAAGCAGATGGCACGAAACTCTCCCTCTGGACACCTCCATGCCTCAGTTACGGTAGACAATTCGGGTTGAATCCTTCTCATCGCATCTGACGAGGAAGAGCACACTGTCGGTAAATCATCCAGGAGTCCGCGGCCGTCACAAGCCCGTATTTCTTTCCCGGATAGACTTTGTTTCTATGCGATTCCCCCCTCCTGAAGGCCAAGATTATTCGCCTCACCAAGTCCAGGCCAGGGTTGGAGGGCGTGCGGCGTGCGCTGGCCTCTTCCCGCCTCAGCTTCTTGTCAGCTTCGCAAATTGGACCTGGGGTCGAGGGCACTACTCCGGCATAAGCCCTGTCACAGCTCCTGCGCAATCTGACATCTTTCTGCCTGCGACTTCTTCACCATTTCATCCCCTTGGAATCACACAGAATACCATCTACGAAATCGTCTACGAGCCCTCAACGAGCGCTGCTTTATTCGACCCCCCTTCTCTGACCTCCGATCTCCCGGCTTGAGTCGAGTAAGCTTCTACGCCGACCGTTGCTATCATGAAGAAGAAATCCGTCTACACTAACATCACGCCGATTCCCTCGCACATCCCCCGTCAACTGGCCATCGACATGCTCCACAGCCATGCCGAAATCATCGAGCTCAATCCCCTTGTGATCGGCCACAAGCCCATCAAAGCCCCTCAGACTGCGCCCGCCGATGAGTTCTTCTCCACGTGGTATGAAATCAATGAGAGGATTCAATATGTCCCGGGCATAGGAAAGGCGGGAGCAGGCAAGATATCCTTCAAGGGCTGTTTCCATGACATGCCGTGGGGTCTGCAGACGCATGTCTATGCGCCAATGGGCGTGGACCTGCGCAATAAATGGCAGATTCGAGGCAATCAACCTGGCGAGCCTCCCGAGTCGAGGGAACTGGGAAGCGGTGCTCCGGCCGAGGGTCTCTATCTTCGTGAAGACATTGAAATCAGGTGCAACCCCGCCATGGTATCCTTTGTGAAGAAAGAGATGAAGGCGGCCTCGAAGACTATGGTTGACCGCTTGGTCAAAAAGGCAGAATTGATTGACGCCGGAGTGCTGAATGCGATGATGGAGGATGGCCGACTCAAGACGTTGAACCCCGCGGACCGCTCACAGACCTTCCAACAGCAAGGCCATTACTCCCCGTCTATGCTTTCACCCAACCTGCCGTCAGGGTTTCCTCAATCGCCCGGTGTCCCTGGATTCCCACATTCCGCGTATGCAAGACAATCCATGTACGGCTCGCCCGGCCCACAATACTCGATGGTGCCACCTGCTCAAGGCCTTGCAATTGAAATGGAAGGAAGTACCTATTTCGTCCAGCAGCACCCCCTGCCGCAGCAGCACCCACAGCAACAACAACTGCATCCCAACAGATTTTCGTCTGCAGTTTCTGAATTATCTGCCAGCTCCCCGAACCAGAGCGACTTTCCGCAAACCAGCAGCCAGTCAGACCGACAAAGCTATGCCGAGTCTGTCAGCTCGATGCCGAGTTCCGTGCCGCACGGTGGAATGGCTTCTCCGGGTATGGAGAAGCGAACTTTCGTGGCTGAGTTACCGGCGAGTAGCGGATCTGCACAGAATAGGTCGCCCAGGAGTCCTGATCCAAACGCAATGTCGGCGCAAGCTCAACAGCAACAAGCGCAGCAACAGTACCGATACAACCCCCAGGACTATGCTCGAATGTCATGAGCTGAGATGTTGTTTATGGTGACGAGTTTCTTTTGTGACGATTTTTGGAAATCTGTATATTGAACGTGTCGGAATTTCGTTCAATTCGCCTAATTGGGCAGAAGCGCGCCGTGGGGTTTACTTGGAGCATTCACTATCAACCAGGAGACATGAGAAGCGTGGGTATGTACCTTGGAAACCACTTCCTCATAAGCTGCCTACCAGATTGCCAATGCGATGCCCGGCTGGCGACGCCTGCCATTGAAGATTATGGCTGTTCCCTGAGGATCCACGCCTTTGCACCAGCATGGTGTCCGGCTCCTATCGCTCACGACCAGACACCTCGGGGCACAAGTCTCCGACTCGGACGGCTTCGCCGCTCAGTGCAACAGAAACAATCACTTGAAGGGTTGAATAAACACAGTCACTCGCTTTCTCCTCCAAAATGTTCGCAAGCACGCTTGTCGATCTGTCCTTTCTGGATTTTACAGCACATATTCCTTCAACGAGCTGAATTTCTATTTGCGACGAGGCTGCTTGAGAGGCATTCTTACTTATCTGAGTCGAGACAAATGCTGGTGGATATGGCGGTTTTGAGATAATGTCTTCTTTGGCAATGAACTGAGAAAGGGGCAAATCGGAGTGTATCGAGAAATGATGATTATCCGAGAATTTGACCGGAGTTTGAACAGTATAGTGGTTGGACAGATCTAGATGCGATGGGGTCTCCCAATGTTTTCCCATACTGACCAAAGTCATAATCTTGCCTGATATTGCGGTCCCGTCAGCCAGCCTCGTCAGCCAGCCTCGTCAGCCAGCCTCGTCACTTGGCAGGACCAGCAACCCAACAGAGCCGGTCACGTGTCTTCCCAATTGACCTCGGTTCTCCCTTCCAGAGTCTCCCACGCGACTGACTCGACTCCCCTCTTGCTTCATGTCATCCGAATATGACTCGTGAATGGATGATCAAGGCTCCAGAACGCCGACGTCTATTCCGCAATATTTGGTGGTCGACCATTTATTGAGCATCGTCTGCTGAACCTTTCTCTCCTACTGCGTACTCGTCCTTCCTCACAGACTGGCAAGAGCGGCGTCTGTAGAGAATCGGCTTTCGATTTTCAGCACCAACTATGACTTGAACAAAGCGCGCGAGCGCCCAGTGGAGGATGGTTTAATGCCTAGGGAAGGTTCAAACCGAAATCTCTGATACGCGGTGGAGTGAGAGTGACGACTTCTTCTAAGGGCTACTACACGGGGAGAACCAAGTAGTACAAAACTGGTCGGAGATTGCACCCGTGATGGCTTGTTGTGTCTTCACCGCATACTTTATGAGTCGCATCATCAAGGCGTGCGAGCTCCTCGACATCCGTCTCCTTGAAATCAAGTACAACGATTCTGACCCAGACTCCTATTCGACCCCCGGATTGCATCCCTACATAGGCCCGGGCACGAAGGTACGAGAGCCTGCAGCCAACATTGACAACACCGTGAACCGAAGAAATGCATCCCAATCCGAGCCCTTATCAACCGTTCGCATCCTGATCACAGGGATGACCTGCGCTGCTTGCGTATCAACATTGACCCACGCATTGACGTCCGTTCCGTCTGTCGTCCGAACCAACGTGTCTCTACCGCTTTCTCGAGCGACGGTGATTTACAACGCTACACATACGTCAACAGAGGATGTGATCTCGGCCATTGAAGATGTAGGTTATGGCGCGGAAGTGGTTGGACAAGGCAACCGGCGCTCTGCGGCCCAGAATCTCCAACTCATCCAGAGAGAAGAAGAGTTGCAGGCCCTGAAGAAAGCTTTCAATGGTGCAGCAAAGTGGGCTACAACTATTACAGTGATCGAATGGGTGAGGAGGACCTCCACCACTCAGCCTGGGAATATCCTGGATTCAATTCTCTCCCTCATGAGTCTGGTGATCGGGTGTTACGTTCAAGTTTCTTATGCAAAATGGGTCCATCACAACGCGTGGGCAAGCTGTTTCTCCAGAAAGTTGATGCAGTTTCCGAGTCTGTCTATGGACACTCTTCTGTCTCTGTCGCTTCTGCTAAGTATGTTCCTCTCATTCTTCAACATCGCCCTTCACGGCCTTTCTGATCTACGTACGAGGACCTATTTCTCCTCTGCGTCTTTTCTTACAGTTGTTATCAGTGGGGGAAGGTACCTCGACGTAACGCTGAGGAGCCAGGGCGCAACTGGACTTGCCCGTCTGTTTAGGTTGCAGCACGAAATGGAATTGGAAACAGTGATGGTGGAAGGGCGATTGCAGAAGCAAGAGACCGGGTCGGACGAAGGCGATGAAGCCGTTCTGACCGCGGTCCCCACGACTCTTCTTGCGCCGTTGGACAAATTTCATATCTCGCCTCAGAGCCTCATCCCTTGTGACAGTTACGTGGTGCGCGGCACCTCTTTGGTTGACGAGTCGAACATGACTGGCGAGTCAATACCATCCCGCAAAACTGTTGGCGATTTTCTCATGTCTGGGACTCGCAATTTGTCTGCTGGACTCGTTGCTATCGTCCTCCAAGAGCAGAACGAATCAAGTTTAGAGAAACTTGTTGAGAGCGTGGAGACAGCAACAGAATTCAAATATGATCCGATACAGACCGGTGCAAGCTCGGACGATAAGCCAAGGAGGGCGATAGAGGACATTATCACGAAATATTTCGTATCAACCATTCTTGTCCTGACATTATTCAGGTTCATATTCACGTTTGTTCTCTCGGCAGACTCGTCACCGATGCCTGATCGACTAAATGCGGCATCTGAACGGGCAATGGCTATCCTAGCAGCAGCTTGTCCATGCGCTATTGGCCTAGCAACCCCTTCGGCTGTCATGGCTGGTATCGACGCGGCGTACGCCTCCGGCATTCTTCTGCCAGGCGGTGCAGATGCTTTCAAAAAGCTATCTCGCCTCACACACATGGTACTGGACAAGACAGGGACGTTAACGGAAGGTAAACTGCAGATCTCAGATGCATTCTTCGTCGAGCCATTCAGATCAGATGAGAGGAAGAGGGAATTATGCTATAGCCTTCTGAGCGCGGCGGAAAGAGATGCGTCACAAACGCATCCAGTTGCAAGAGCGGTGTTTCAGTGGTGTGTCAGACAGCTTCAAGCAACGTCTCAGCCGCGAGAAAGTCGAGGAGTTATGACCGAGCCAGGTGCCGCACTGGTCAGAAACATCTCAAGCGTCACAGGGAAGGGTGTCTGTGCAGAAGTGCAAGGACCCGGCAAAATATGGTACACCGCCCATATTGGCAGCGATCGTTTTCTATCCGACCACGATATTTCCCTCACCCCAGCCGCCATAGTTGAGCTGGGAACTGTTAGAGGAACCACTGCGGTTCATTTCGCCCTCGATGGCAAGTACGCTGGCACGTTCATGCTGCAAGACACTATCCGTTCGAACGCCCCGGGTGTTATCGACTCGTTGAAGTCGCTTGGGCTCAGATTGACCATGCTAACAGGCGACTCTGAGGCTGAAGCGCATCGTGTCTCGTCGCAGCTACAGATCCCAGTCCTTGCAGCTAAATCTCTGCCTCACGAGAAGAGAGACTTGGTCGTCTCGCTGCAGTCACAGCATCTTTCACCATCTGGATCCCACGGGAAAACAGCTCAACTGATGTCCGACATGAGGCAGGGATTTGGCATTCTCGAGGTTCTAAGCTCTATCCCACGACGACTCTTCTCGGGGAACAAAGGGGACAGAAACATCGTTGCAATGCTCGGTGACGGTCTGAATGATGCACCCGCACAAGCAGCTGCCGACGTTGGCATTTTATTCTCACTCTCACCTTTGTCCGCCTGTCACTCGGCCTCGACATCGTCGTTAGCACTGGGGATTTGCGCTGCTGAAGTGATCGTCACGACACCTGACCTCGCCGCCTTGCCGAAGTTGATTACGATTGCAACCAAAACCATGGCTCAGGCAAGGTGGAATATGCATTGGGCGGTGCTATACAATGCCTTTGCCATCGCGTTAGCGATGGGCGCTGGCGAACTAATGGGATTCAAGAGTGTTGATGCATCGACTGCTGGCACGATGATGGCATTTTCGAGTATTACCGTTTTGGGGACGAGTCTACATCTGCGCCGACGATTCCAATGAGACAGGCTATCCTGACCGAAAATCCCCCCGAGACGCCCAGGACGCCTCAGGCCGGGTTGATTGGCCCTTTGAAGACATGAGCACAGCCACTTCCTCTGAGCTCGCACTCCGGAACGGGCGTTTGCTAAATGCCAACTTCGCGGGGGCATGATCTTTGGTAGATTTACAGACGTGTCATTGGCACGAAAGGCCTGCCCTTTCTCATTGAAAACTTACCAGGAACAGGCGATAAGCAGTACGGCAATGTATTGCACTAGGAAAAAGTCTCCGTGCGTGGACCAACCTATCGCAGTTCGTATGCCGTCTCCAGGCGACGTTGCGTTGCCTGGGCCTTGTCTCCCTTTCGACTCCATCAGTGAGAACTCCCTGGCCGTTTCTTATTTCCCGGTTTTGTGATTGCTGGCAATGTGGTAGGGACAGTTTCTGATGACGCCCAGAACCTTTTCAACTCCTTCATCCCCAGAAAGATTCGCATGTATTTGCATGTCCACAAGGAAGGGGTTCGTAGAAGAAGCAGAAACCTGTGCTTTCGCAGCTATGCCAGATCAGGCCCTATGATTCCCACGTTTGTTGCATTTGTACGCTGTACCTCGTACCCGTCGAGCTGCCGTGGGCCTTGTTCGCTTCAATACCGTTGACATCATTCGCTTTGCTAAAAGGCCCCTGGTGCTAGAGTGTTTCAGGAAGAACAAGAACCCAACATCCAATATTATGGAATGATGGGTAACCCTGCTTGCTGGCTAGTGAGGGATAAATTCCGGGGCAAACATAGCATGTACACCGCTGATCAGCCACAGCAGCATGTCGATCTCTCAAAGATCGGCGTCGAGTGTTGCCTTCGGCTGGAGAAATGGAGGATCGCTGCACGGGACGGCACTTGTTCCTTCAACGTCATTTGCACAGGATGTTGGCTATTGGTTTTCCCTAATCAACTTTTAAGCAATTTCTTCCAAGTCCAACACGACCCTGCAGGGACATGGTAGCTATTGCCAGAAGGCTGTTGCACGGTGGTGGCATCCAAGTTATGGAGCCCACGTTGGGGATCTGCTGAGCAATTCGAAGATCATCCTGGAATTATTCCAACCCCAGGACGCCCTTGGATGCTTCCTGGCATGACTTGAGATGGTACCTTGGTCAATTGTTCACGGCTTCTGACGACACAAGCTGAAATCATATGGGATTCATCACTAAGCATGGCAAAGAGACAATGCCATTAGACATACCTGCTCCCCCTCCCTATTGCTGGTACCGGCATTGAGATCGTCTACAGGGCCTGACCTTGCCGTGCTGAGATGAGTTACTGGCAAGGTTCCGTCCTATTACATTCAACTGTCGGAAGTTCCCTCATGCCATTGAGCATCTGTGCGGGCCCGCAACTGGATAATCGCACTTAGTAAACGATACTTCATCCCTCGCAGCGATCGACGCAGGTACATGCACGCCAAAGACATGATGTCGATCAACGGGCGCGCAGAGCCTTGCACGGGGTTGATGTATGGGTACAATGCCAATCGGTCGCGACGGCGATCACGTTCATTCATCGGAACAACTGGACCGAAGCCTCGAAGATCATGGATGACATGTCTCAAACATGACGGCTATCCCGAACGCAATAGGACTTGGCTCTGTTGAGAGAAGTATAAAGTTGTGCTCGAAAGAACATCAGATCAAGTCCTCTGTCACACATCTTTGGCGACCTCAGCCTCCGTCGGTTATTCCAGGCAAGCTCATTTCCACGCACCTTCCAATACTTCTCGGTTCATTGCCATCAATTCCTCACCTGAGAACTCAACATGCACTTTTCTACGGTCGCTATTGTCCTCGCTGGCGCCACCACCGCCATGGCATCTGCTATTCCAGGCAAAAGTGCCCTTGTGGACCGACAAGTGACTCTGTGCTCTGGCGCCGATAGCTCAGCTGTCTGCTGCGCGACCGACGTGCTCGGTGTGGCAGACCTCGACTGTGCACCTCGTAGGTTTCTCTTGAGCCGGATCCTACTAAATCAGGAGAGAATACTGACGAAACGCTTCAACTAGCTCCATCTACGCCGACCAGCGTCGATGATTTTACTAGCATCTGTGCCTCCATTGGGCAGCAGGCTCGGTGTTGCTTGTTGCCTATCGTAAGTATCGACCTTTATTCCTGCGATTCTCGTCCTCCCCGCCGTACCGAGCCTCGTGCATGGCCGGTTTGCGCCAATGACGCTTGGACTGTACTTTATTCTGGGCGCATGTGAATATTGACAATCCATAATAGCTTGAACAAGGTCTTATCTGCACCTCGCCTGGAAAATAAGCAATGGGAGAAAACGTCGTCACCATGATCGAACGCGGAGGGAACCTTGTCAATCCCAAGTCACTCCTTACGAAAATCGATGTCCATTATCTAGGATGCGTTACTGGTGATGTTGTCCTTGGCAGAAGGGGCACGATAATGCTGCTACTTGTTTTTACTTCGCCACATTTCTCCAGAGGAATCTGTAAGCACCCTGCTCTGCTCATATTCTCGTGTGAGATTATGAAATTATATTGGGAGGTCAAGAAGTAGTTGATAGTGGAAATGCATGGCCCGGAGAATTTGGGGATCTGGAAAATGTTGTCTTCGATGGATGAAACTTGGAGCCGGAGGGCAGGCTGGGGTCTTGTATGAAGATATTCGATTAAGAAATACCATAACAATTTCTCACCGCGACCTCCGAGGGTCAATTCGTCCAGACAACTTCTCACTCTCCCATAGAGTGGCATCCCTGAGCATGTTCAGAAATTCAATACCCACGAAAAAGAGGACAGTCAGGCACAGAGTCTTGCCTCAAGAGACAATGACCCGTATCGACTCGACCTTCTATTACGCGCTAACCAATTCATTGGCTGGAGGGCCCCTGCATATCTGCCTGACTAGCTGGGCTCCCATATGCATTGGGGGCTGAGGCTGACACTTGGCGATGTAAATATTCTTCGTGATAACAGTCATCTACCTTCCGGATTCTGGCATGCAGCATTGAACCGAAAACAGCTAGAAAGACCAAAAACATTCTACACTTACATATATCGCTAAGAAATCAGAACCGAACCACTGCACATTCGCTGATTACCGAGCAACAAATTACCCAAGATGCGAGAAGATGTGGACATCTCGCTTCGCAGGATCCGACAAGAGATCGACCGCCCAATCTACGCAGCCTTGCTCGAGATCCAAAAGCACAATACCATGGAACAGAAGTCGCCGGAATGGGTCGAGCAACTGGAATGTCTGTACGTGAAGAGCGATAATCGCCTTCATCGACAACGGGGCAGATACAGCCAGAGCAACAGTCCACAGTCGTCGAAGCCACTTCTAGGTCGGAAATGTATTGACACTCTCTCTACGCGGAGTTACATCGCCGTGTCGTATATATGGAACCCAGCACCGGGAGAGGACACTAAAACTGGGGGGTATATTGTCGAATTAAGAGACCACTCTCACCGGTCGTCGAGAAGGTCGACAACAGTGAGAGATGTTGTCTGGGACAGAGTCACGAAATTTGCAACCTACATAGATTGCCCCTATTTCTGGGTCGACCAGGAGTGTATTGACCAGGAAGACGAGGACGAGAAAGAAATCGCAATCCAGTCCATGGACCTCGTCTACAGCCGCAGCCAACATCCCATTGCGCTGCTCTCGGCCGCGCGCATCGTCTCTGGAGAGCAATTGGACCTCTTGGCCGAGATCTTGAGCGGGAGCTTTATTGGAGGCGACGAGAACACAGCGGCGCAGGAGCTGCGACTAAACCCTTGCATGATCGGGATGGTTGAAAAGGCGCTGGATCTCTTGGACTTAGTCACTTCGGACAAGTGGTGGAACAGAGCATGGCCTTTTCAGGAGGACTATCGTGCCTCGACGAGGATGACTCTGCTCATACCGCACGATCCCTCCCTCGAGGCGCGAAAGCGAGACACAGAAGGCTTGTTGTTTGGTGTCCTCGAAGGCGAGCTTTGTGTGAACTCAGCCAACTTCCGACAAGAAGCCTCTCAGCTCTGTCTCGCATACATGAATCAACGTCGACGTCAAGGCAGACTCGAGGAGGCGGTCAAACGAGTTCTACAACGGGCCGGAAAATACACCGTCACTCTACAGGACCTCCGGGCAGAGGACAGCATGTACGCCGTCCGAAGGTCGATGTCCCCCAGCATCTTCGCCGACGTCGGCGCTCGGGAAGCAGGAAGGTGTGTCGACCGCCTCGCCATCGTGGCAAACTGCTGTGCATATTCTGTGCGCTTGAGGACTAAGACGCTACAAGACGGCAACTACAGCCTGAGCCTAGCCTTACTGACACTGTATCTCCTCAACGGCGAAATCCTCATGAACAGTGGCAGCAGCGCCGCTCCGCTGGACAACACAATATTCGACTTCTTAAAAGCCCAGTCCCTTGACTCATTCTCGCCGCCTACCGATCATCAGCAGCTGACATTCATCAAGAGTTGTCGCCTCATCCGGGTCAGATTGGCGAACGAAGGAATCCGGACGCGAGGGCACCTATGGGAGCTCGGCCCCACGGTACGTGTGAGGCGACGGCGGCGCGGTGTGTCCTGGCAGTTCGATTCCAACAGCGGATTGACGGGCCGCCAACGCTGGCGCCTCTACCAACTTGTCCAGGAGCTCAGGGACCCATGGAACAGAAAGCAATATGAAGCTGAGGACCTTTCCGCGTCTCTCGAGGAGTTCCTCGACCGGGATGAAGACGGATCGGGGGTTGACGAGCTGAGCTTCTCACGACGGTTTCAGACCTGGATGGCCGCCGAGGTCGCCAGTGCTATGTGGGACGAAAGGAAGATACTGCGCTTAGGGCGTCTGGTTGAAGGGCCAGGCGACAACCAGTCTGAATACACCGGTATCTTCATCTACGACGCAGACAGGGCGAGCTCGGGACAGTACATTTTCACGGCATCCTGGGACGGGGAAGAGGTCGAGATTGACAAGCATGTAAGTCTGGAGGTGGAATTCCGAGGCCGCAGTAGGTCTGATCGACCACTGCTGCATGCAAAGAGATGGGTGAACGGGCTAATCTTCTTTCGAAACCATCGTAGACAAGATTTCGTTTTCGCCTGGCCTCCATCCTTCACAGTTTAAGCATCAATAGGCAAGACCCAGGCGAGATAATAGGACGGTCCCCAAGCAAACTGCTGTGGGCTTAGGCATTGTATCCCTCAGGGCGCCATTGCGTCGCGGGCGGAAGCGGCATCATAGGCATGTCAGTATAGTCATCAATGCCGCGCTTTCACCCTTGATCCGCCCGGATCGATTTGTACAATACCTCTTTCCTGATATTCCTTGTCACCAACGCTCCCGAAATCATCCAAGCCACCGCCAAAAATGGTACCAGGGCAATAAAGACCAATTTGGGTCCAAAGTCACCCGTCACTGGATTGAGATCTGAGTCTGTGTCGAATGTGTACACCACAGAATAGAAGGCTCTGACACCGACCAACAAACCTCCGACGCAGGTGCAGAACGACATCGATGTCAAGTGTAGATAACTGACGGACTCTTTCGCACGGTGGACAGATAGCCAGACATAAGCAGCGTAGATGACCTCGGCAATAGCTCCTAGGAGCATAAGGATTGCGAGTTTTCCGATTTGATCGCCCCGTAAACCACATGACCCATGCCACCCGTTGACAGCGCATGGAATCCTCCCTGCAATGCCCGCAGGCGAGTCAAAAGGGCTTGTGCCTCATTGTTCGACCTTGTCGCCTTGACGAGGTAGTGGTGTGCCTCATGCGCGAAGCCTGCCAGAACAAGGAGCAATGGTGAAAGGCCAGCTGAGTGCATAGCCGATGTCATAATGATGGTGTTTGGATTGGTAGAGTTACGGTCTGCTATTCCGAGACTATCAGCAAGGATGCGAAGCACCGCGAATACACAGAGGAAAATGTAACCAAGCGAGTGTGTCAAGCCATGGCGGACGCCGAGAATGACGATCAAAGGGATCAGGAGAATGTAGACGACTATCTCAATCGTGTCGAGCATAACGGTGTTAGACATCTCGACTGTCGTATGCTGGGTCTGTTTTGGCAACACAAACTGTAGTCAAGCTCGTGGCGTTAGAGAAAACCGGAGCCTCAAGGCAAAGATCTCAAGGGGGTAGGGCGGAGCGATGCCTTTCTCTTGCCATGAGCTGAGTGTGGGACAGAGCTTTCGAAAACGCTTTAGCACAAAAGGTCGAGGTATCCGTGCAAGTCTGCGAAATAACTGGTGACCGGGTGGAAAGTTGACAGACTCGAGCCCGGAAGGAAGCAGAGCAGGTATTTATAGACATCATTATGGCAGCTCGTGTAGGAGAGATCCTGAAATTCAGGGAGGACAGCGCCATGTTGTAGACGTCGTAGGTAGAGGGGCGCAAGCAAAAGGGTTCAGCAGTCATTCATACAGAAAAGCAGCCACGATCGACGGGAAGCCTGACGCATGGCCAGGATCACTTTCTCGCAATTAGTAGTACGTAGCAAGGGGGGCATCGATCAAACCATGAAGACGGCAAAGTGCCCGAACGCCAACACGTGTGTCTAGTTCGACATGGCACAAGGCAAGGAAAAGTAGTGCTCAAGCTGAGCGTCGTAGCCTTGAAATTCGAAGGACGTGCCTCGTCGCTGCAGTGGCGAAACAGGAGGGACCCATCGAGGACAGTAGGGACCCATCGAGGACAGTAGGGACCCATCGAGGACAGTAGGGACCCATCGAGGACAGTA